CATTTCTGAAGAAGGGTCTAGGCCCGAAATGTCAGCCTTCCTGCTCCTCTGATGCTGCTTGGCCTGCTGTGTTCATCCAGCTCTACACCTTGTTATCTCAGATTCTCCAGCATCAGCAGTTCCTACTAGCTCTTACAGTGGCCTAGCACAACAAAACTGGATCAAATGGTCTCTTTCTGTGCTGTATGGTTAAATGAATTTACAGTTAGGGGCCTTGTCCTGAGGACAGAGCAAGGGTTCAATGTCAGCAAGAGACTCTGGTAAAAATTGTTAAATCCCCTGTTCCATTACTGCTCACTTCAATTAGAATAGATTATGGTTTTCAAAAGATGTTGAGCTGACATCCAGTGGCAGGAACTGACTATTGCAAGCATGTTAAGCTGAAATAACAGTTACTCTGTTCTTCAGTCTATATCTGTGAATAGATAATAGGCAATTGATCCCTAATTCCCATTGCTTTAGATTTTAAAATCAGGCGTGTATATTGCAGGGATTTTTTGAGACTAAATGAGAGTGACTAATTTAAAAGCCTCCTTCATAACAGGAGACAGAGCTGAGTAACTAAAGGCCAGTTAATTTAGTACTGTGCCTTACATATTGTTGGGTGCTCTAATCAACGTAGAACATAGTGACCATAATAAAAAAGACACAAAACAGATTAATAACAGTCACTTAGTGATTTTATGCTTATTCTGTTTCTTTTTCAGTAGAATTGCTACCAAAAGCAGTGGACCATGAACGGGAACGCAAGAACCCAACGGGATTGTACGTCATCAGAGAAAAGGTAGAAACATAGTAGTGAGGTTGGAAATGGGACCCCTGCCTCTGAATCAGCACAAATAATCTTTACTCAATTCCATATATATTCCAGGATTCTCCAGATGCTGAGGAAGATTCCCTAAGTGTTTCCAAGAATGCAGCTGAGCAAGCTGGATTCATAGTTTCCTCTGGACCTCCTACTAGATCACCAAGACCAGCTGGTCGATCACCCAGACGATACAACAGGTCTCCTGTCCGATCCCCTGGCTCTACCAGATCACACAAGTCTCCAAGTAGATCATCCAGCTCCCCTGTGCATCAAAGGAGTGCTAACCGCATTATCCGACCAGCAGGAGTCCACATGATCATGGAGCAAGATGAAGCTAGTATGGAAGAAAATTAACGCTTAAACGACCCTGTAACTTTTCCATGGACATAAAAGATACTGTAGGTGCAGAAGTATCAGTATCAAATCCTGGAATATATCCAGGGTTCTGACCTCCTGCTTTTTCTGAATATACCTATCATAGAGTATTATAACCCTCTTTCCCTTAACCAGAGTTTACCACAGCAACCTTAGCTCCTAGAATGCAAACCAGGGTCAGACCCCTAACAACAAGTACATAAAATGTGCCTAAATGCATCCCATTTCGGTCATTGACATGTTGGGGAGGGCTTTTTAATTCCTTAGTTTTGGATATCACATGGAAGTGCCACAAATTAATTTTAGCAATGTAATCGTAAGAATATAAGACTTTCCTGGATGCTCCCAGTGGCCCAGTGGATAAGTATTCCATCAGGCATAGACCATGTGTAACAGAAAGGTCCCATTCTTGGTACTGAGCAGCTCTCAACTGCAGTGACTTTGAATGGACACAGCAGTTGGTCTTGGTTTCCTAGAGTTGATTGGAGTAAAGGGGAATTGGGTTTTCATAGCTAACCCGTTACCCTGTTAAAAACAAAATGGTGCATGTCAGCCTAAACTGAACTCAGTTTTGATGCCTCAGTATGTCAGCTCATGCATGAAACTGGCCACTTTAGCAAGGTACTGGAAATATGCATAAACTGTGCCCTGGGACTGAAGGTATATGATAAACAATGTTTCCTGGATAGTTGCACTCACACCTTCTGGAGGTCGAGATCCAAAACTTCAGTCAACAGAGCAGAGGTCAGAGTAACTCCTGCTACTTAGTAACTGAGAACGATGCAATCCACTGGAGCCAATGCTCTCTTTGAGGTCAGGATGGCTCAACCGGGATTGGTCCTTCAAATCAGGGCTATCACAGCGATTTCAACAAGGCAGGTCACCCTTATGCAAAGGGAAATCTCTACTTAATCAGGTACAAAAAGACAATAGAGTAGAAAGCAGGTGGGGACGCAAACAGTCTTTGATGGGTTGTGTTTGGTTAATTAGGAGGGAGTCAATCAGTAGGAACTAGTTAGATTCAAACCCATCAATAACTCAGTTAATTTAATCCAACCAAGAGAAGGGACACTTGACAGGACGCCTTTGATGTGGAATTTTACGTTTCTGGCATGAACAGGACGTGTAATTCATTATTTTGTAAATATAAAACAATAGAAGCATGCGTTAAACATTAGGTCGATTTCTGGGAATTAGTCACTGCTGATGGTAACCTCTGGTCACTGTCCTGTAATTCCCTCATCAATAAAGTGAAAACACATAAAATGAATATGGGAGTTGCACTGTGATGTTTCCTGTAGTCAAACAGTCATCTCCCACATGAAGAATGTCCATTTTGGTGAGGAACTGCAGAGCTGCTGGAGCTTGGCCCTTTTTTGCCTGTCCAGGAGAGGAAGAGAGACAATCATTCAGAAACATTTTGCCTGGATAGTTCTCAGTCCCAGTAGTGGCTGGTACCATTAATTATTCAAACATTCAGGCCTTGTCTTCCCCAGAAACTCTTTACAGCCAAAAGTGAGTACAAGGAGTTTGGATGAGCCTACAAGTATCTTTACCACTTTTAATCACAATCTTTCCAGGCTCTCTGTCTCTCCTAACCCTCGCTCAGTCCATCCCTCTCTCTCTCCCATACCCTACTCTGTCCATCTCACTGTCTCCCCAAATCCTTACTCTGTCTATCCTCTGTCTCTCCTAACCCTCGTTCTGTCCATCTCTCTCTTTCCTAACCCTTGCAGTGTCCATTCCTCTGTCTCTGCTGAACATCCAATACTTCCAACTCACATTGTCTCTGAACTGACTGTCTGTCCCAGACTGTGTTATTGTACACAGACAGTTCCATCATCTTTAAGCCAGTCATGACAGGATACTGAGAGCTCCGGCTTAGATCCCCGATTTTTCAAACCTCACCTGACATTTCTCATAGCTGCGATCATTCTGAATGTCATTAAGATTTTGGAAAATTTTGTGACAGGTGGAGTTTGTTTGAAATAAGAGAAGAAAATACTGCAGTCCTCAGTTAATACTGTTTGAACTTATTCATGTATTACACTAGGAGTCAAAATCACAGCATGGCACCTAATTACTTTTCAGTTCTCAGCTGCAGTTTTAATTTTAACATAAAGCTTTTTAATCAACTCAAGTGTACATTGTATTTACTTGCAGCTTAATCTTACCTTGGTACAGTGGTGTTAAGACAAAGTCCAATATATTTGACTTCTGCAGGACAGTGTGCAAACTTTGTGCTTCATTGGGGAGTTCCCTCAATGACTCACTCCTACCTGCCACAGCTTTTCTTTGGTAAACTTGTCTCTTTTTCTTCCTCCTAATATCTTTGTCTAAGTTTTCCCCTGTGTCATGCAGCAATCACTAGACAATGCTTTGCGCAGGTGAATTCTCACCAGCCGTCATCCTCACCTCAGATTCTTGCCTGCCCGGCCAACACCGGGGAAGCAGTTGGCATTTGTTCAGCGGTTTCACTGCGGGCATTGGGTGGAAGGGGCCCATCTCAACACTGAGCTATCACTGGGATATCCCCTGCGTCACATCTGGGCACTGCAGCACCGAGCACTGTGCCTCGGGAGTGGTTTTACATAGTGAAGAGGAGATGATAATGCTGCCTGATCTTCAGACATCTTTAACTTTTAAAGGGTTGTGTAAATCTGGAATTCACTCCCGTTGCATCAGATTCCTACAACTCCCACCTGAACAGCACTGGGGGAATTATCCCGACCCCAAATGGACTGCAGGAGTTCAAGGCAGATCACTGCCACCTTCTCGAGGGCAACTAGGGATGGGCAAGACATGCTGGGCCAGCCAGAGACACCCAAATACAAATAAAACAAAAACAGCTGTAGAGGCTAGATCGTCGGAAAATTTCAACACTGAATTTGTTGGATGTTTCCCAGATGTTGCTAATAAGAGATAAGGAACAGAGGTGGGTGACGATACAGGTTAGCTGTGTTCTAAAGGAATAGCAAAACAGGCTCCTGATGCTCAATGGCCTACTCCCCCTCCCAAAGTTCTGTGGCTTAGCCAATGAGAAAGGTGTCAATAAGATGAATGTTGTTAAAATCTACAGTCTTTCATTTGCTGTCCACATCGTGGAGGTGAGTCGTGACAGCAATTTATATGCATTGACATAAATATCATCACGCACTGGGCAATAGGATCAAAAGTTTTTTGCCGGCATTAGATAATGAACGGCTTTTGCAATGCTATAGACACCAATTGTGTGGATTGATCACTAATGTGTACTTGGCCTGCTCCTGCTCTAGTACTTGAACACAATATATTTTTTTCAGGTTAATATTTGGACAACTCAGCCTCACATTTTTGAGGCACCAACCTGTGTGTTAGTAATTTAGACACCACAAAACAGGAGAAATGACAAGAAGCTGTGACAAAATATCAATAAAGATTTATTGCAGATTCCTGTACCGCCATCTCAAGTCTAATTTTTGAACAAATAACACTTTCAGTACACACACAGGTAATATATTTAAGGACCAGTGTATATGATGGGGTGCATCACTGTATAATATTCCAAATACAAATCACAATGGACAAATCATACATAATGACAATGGTGAATCACACGCCATCACTTTTAAATAGTGGAAACTTTTGAGAGGTTTAAGTAAAACTTCATGGGTTCAGTGCTGAATTTATGGGCTAAACTTCTTGCATTAAGTGGAAGAAAAGTTGAGGGTAAGTTCAAAACCTAAGTTAAATCTTTGATGGAAATCAATAGGGAGAAATGTAAAATGAGGACTCCCTAAAACCCGTTTCACTGTACCCACTGGAGAATTCTCTTGCCTTTAGCCGATGGGACTTTTAATATCCACTAGAACATGGTCAAGATTATTGTTTATCTTAAGAGGAAAGATGCTCTGATACATGTGTCTTCATCAGTGCTATACTGCTTTGTTAGTTGAGATTATCCAGTAAGGTTCTAGGATCAGTTTGTATCTGGAACATTATACCTCAGCAGCAAATGATGTTAAAACTCAGGCTATGATGCACTTTTCCAATATTTTGAGGTCAATTTCAAGTTTACCCAGCTGAGATCAATGAGGTCCAGATACTCCCTGCGCCCACAACATTGACAGGCAACAAACATTAACTAGCCGTAAATCAATGGGATTTATTTCTAAGAGAATTGAATTCAAAAGTTTTGAAGTTATTTTAAAAGTTGCATAGAACCTAAGGACGCATATGGAATTATGAGCTCCATAACACAAGAACGCAGAAGCACTGTGGCAAGTGCATTCCCAGACTTTAATAAATAGTTAAATTGGAGGGACTGAGATAATACAGAATTTACATAACATAGCAGAGAAGGGACAGCTTGGAAATTACACTGGTTCACCTAATCTGTGCTGATGTTTATAATCCGCGCAAGACTCCTCCCATTACATATACCTCATCTCAGCCTTTTAGTAAATCTTTCTATTCCTCTTTCTGTAATTGCCTCGTCTCTTTCTAATGCCGCCAAGTTATTTGTCTCAGCCATTTCCTGTGGTAGTGAGTTCTGCATTCTTATTACTCTAGGATGAAGACATTTCCTTTATTGGAAAAGCTTAGCAAGCATCTTTTATTAAATCACCTCTAGCCTTGGAGTCCCCACAAATTGAAACATTTTCCCCATATGCACATTGTCCAACCTATTTATTATTTTAGAGGTAACCCGAGGGATATCCAAAAGGTAAAAGGCCAGTGCTGTTCAATCTTTCCCAAGAGTTGCAATCTCTCAAATCTGGTACCAACTGAGTGATTGATTTTGCACAATGTCCTTTTTACAATATTGAGACCAGTCACGTCTGGTGACAGGGTGGCTCAGTGGTTAGCACTGCTGCCTCACATTGCCAGAGACTCAGGTTTGATTCCAGGCTCAGGTGACTGCCTGTGTGGACTTTGCATGTTCTCCCTACGACTTTCTTCGGGTGCTCCAGTTTCTTCGCACAGTCTAAAGATGTGTAGGTTAGGTAGATTGGCCGTGCTAAATTGTCGTGTAGAGTTTGGGCTATGTGGGTTAGCCATGGTAAATGTGGGATTACAGGGATAGGGTGGAATGCCCTTCAGAGGGACATCTGATGGGCCACATGGCCTCTTTCTGCACAGTAGGGATTAGGGGAAAAAAAAGTTCATCGATCTGAAATGTTAACAGTTTCTCTACCAACAACCTTTTCCATCTTTATTTCAGATTTCCAGAAGTATTCGCTTTCGCATAACACCTGGTCAATATTTATTCTGCCAGCAACATCATAAAAATAGATTACATGGTTATTATCACATTGCTAGTAATTGGAGATTGCTGTTCAAAGATAGTTCAATGGGCAGTGAAGCACTTGGTGTTGTTTTCGCTTGTAAAAATCGCTATCTAAATAAAACAATTTCACTTTACTCCATGATATAGAGCTGGATGAACAGAGCAGGAAGGCTGACGTTTCGGGTCGAGACCCTTCTACTGCCTACGGAACCAGATCATCCCCAAAAATAAAACCACTTCCTACAGACAAAGGGGGTGGCCACGGGTACCTGCACGGGCCCAAGCTATACCTGCCTCTTTGTAGGTTACGTGGAACAAACTCTCTTCCAAAGCTACACTGGCCCTATCCCCTACCTCTTCCTCCGTTACATTGATGACTGTATCGGCACCGCCTTGTGCTCCCACGAGGAGCTCGAACAGTTCATCATCCACTTCACTATCACCTTCCACCCAAACCTTAAGTTCACCTCGACCATCTCTGATACCTCTCTCTCCTTCCTGGACCTCTCTGTTTCCATCTCTGGCAACCACCTGGAAACCGATATTCATTTCGAGCCTACCGACTCCCACAGCTACCTAGAATACACCTCCTCCCACCCACCTTCCTGCAAAAATGCCATCCCCTATTCCCAATTCCTTCGCTTCCGCTGCATCTGCTCCCGAGATGAGGCATTCCACTCCCGGACATCCCAGATGTCCTCATTTTTCAAGGACCACAACTTCCCCCCTCAGTGGTTGAGAATGTCCTCGACAGGGTCTCCCGCATTTCCCACAACTCATTCCTCACACCCCCTCCCCCCAATAACAACCAAAACAGAATCCCTCTCGTCCTCACGTACCACCCCACCAACCTCCGGATCCGACGCATCATCCTCCAACACTTCCGCCATCTGCAATCCGACCCCACACCAAAGACATTTTTCCCTCCCCACCCTTATCTGCTTTCTGGAGGGACCACTCTCTCCGTGACTCCCTTGTCTGCTCCACACTCCCCTCCAACCCCACCACTTTTCCCTGCAACCAGAGCAAGTGCTACACCTGCCCCTCACCCCCACCCCAGGCCCTAAGAAGACCTTCCACATCAAACAGATGTTCACCTGCACATCTGCTAATGTGGTATACTGCATCCTCTGTTCCCGTTGTGGCCTCCTCTACATCGGGGAAACCAAGCGGAGGCTTGGGGACCGCTTTGTGGAACACCCACGCTCAGTTCGCAACAAACAACTACACCTCCCAGTCGCGAACCATTTCAACTCCCCCTCCCACTCCTTGGACTACATGTCCATCCTAGGCCTCCTGCATTGCCACAATGATGCCACCCGAAAGCTGCAGGAACAGCATCTCATATTCCGCTTGGGAACCCTGCAGCCCAAGGGTATCAATGTGGACTTCACAAGCTTCAAAATCTCCCCTCCCCTGACCGCATCCCAAAACCAGCCCAGCTCATCCCCGCCTACCTAACCATTCCACCCACCTCAAGCCGCACCCCCATCTCCTACCTACTAACCTCATCCTGCCTCCTTGACCTGTCCGTCGTCCCATGACTGACCTATCCCCTCCCTAACTCCCCACCTACACTCACTTTTACTGGCTCCAACCCTGCCTGTCTCCTCTCCACCTATCTTCTCCTTTATCCATCTTCTATCCACCTTCCCCTCTCTCCCTATTTATTTCAGAATCCCCTTCCCCTCCCCCATTTCTGAAGAAGGGTCTCGACCCGAAAGGTCAGCTTTCCTGCTCCTCTGATGCTGCTTGGCCTGCTGTGTTCATCCAGCTCTACACAGTGTTATCTCAGATTCTCCAGCATCGGCAGTTCCTGCTATCTCTGTATCACTTTACTCCACGCTGGCCCTGACAATGCTGAATGAACGCTCCTTTTCTTCAAAGGCTGGAACTGCCCTTTAGAATTAACGATATTGACAAACAATAAAGGACCCCTCACAGACATCGTAAAATATAGGCACTTTCAATTTTATTCATTCCTTTTACACAAGGCTAGAATAGTAACATTTAGAAAAGAATGTATTGCAAAAGTCTGAATCATTAGACAATAAAACACTACAAAGAGATCACTAAAGGCACTTTATGAAGTCTACAACTCAAGCTTCATTTGAAATGAGCAACTGTGTTAGGTTTGTGCTTACCCATTTAAGATGGTGCTTCCCAACAAGTTAAGAATTAACTCATTTAACCCATACATCAGCAAGATCCTTGCGGCTTGGTGAATGGAGCTGTTCACAGTATACTTGCATTATTATTTTGGGTTTTTTTACCCCTCTCAAGGAGGTTGTAGCTTTGAGAAGCTGATATTTTATTCAAAACCACAAAGGGGTGACCAGAGAGATGTGGATCAGTGGAATTTGAATTACACAGCTTGGCTGCAAGTGAGCTGACTCCCATTTTGTGCAGCAGAGGAACTTAACTCTAAAGCTTGGGTTTACAGTCCAGAATTTCTGGAATTATGTTCTATTTTAAAGAATATTGATGCTTGACCCTCTTCACCTCCCTGCTTGTCTCGTTTAAAATAATCCTCAAAATCTACAAGGTTTTGATCATGAGTATTCATACCTGCTTTGTTTAGCTCAGTGACAATGGCTACATTCCGGTTAACTCCCTTGGGATGTAATACCACGTTGAAAAGGTGCTATATAAATGCAGTTTTTAAAAAACATTCTTTCATTTAATGTTTGAAGGAAGCAGTTGTGCACAGAAGACTGTTATCACAATGATGTCCTTGGATACCAATCAGTAATTCTAAGCTGTTATCTTCAAATGGATCAAATCTACCTCCTATTTGGGTGTGCTTTTTATCCGAAGCCATTTGTTAGCAATCGGGGGTCGAAACCTTGAAATGAAATAGTTCCTCCGCCAGTGTGTTTCGGATCAAGTGCAGGACCCTTTTCCAATGGGTTTGAATCTTCTGTACTGGGAGTACAAAGGAGCATTTGCAATGAAAGAGTTAAAGGGGACCCCCACTCCATGGGGAAATTGTGACCAGCTCCACGCACAGCTGAAAGGAATTTTAAGACTCATCATTTCTTTTTTCCAGTAACCATAGTAACCCACCCTATTACAGAAAGCAATCCTGTTGACTGGCTGATGGGGGAGTTTGGCACTGCTTACAGATACACCCACTCAACCAGAGTCAGTAATGATGCTCATTGGTTACAGAATAAACAATAATGGATTACCTCACCATTGTAAATTTTCCAGATGGAGAATTTTGTGAAGCCAAAAATAGTCAAAAGTTAAAAGACAAGCATTACACCGACTGCATGGGTGCAACCCAATATTCCACCTTTTCGCTGATGTGTCGCCCACTATTCAAAACAGTACAACCCCCTAGAGGCAGGTTCAATCTTGATTGTTACAAAAAGTGTGAAAGGGCTGGCAGGAAATATTAGAAATAGCTCAGGCAGGCTTTCTGGAAAAAAAGACCATCAAATTCTGTTCGTGAGTTCAGGTTTTTTACATTAAAAGAAAGAAAACTACACCTGTTTCCCACAGGACATCCCTCTTTCTGCTTTCCTTTTTCAGTGTCAAGGTTCTTATTGAGGACAGAATTAGTTTAACGATGGTATGTATTGAACTGGTAACCCAGAGACTGTGACTAATGCTCTGTAAAAAAAAAAGAGTTCCAACCCTAGTGGACCTGCTGCAAAATTTGAATTTAAACAATTTGATAATCTGGAATAAATCTAATTAACAGTGACCATGAAACCACTGGATTGTCATTAAAATATAAAATCTGGTTCACGAATATCGTTTGGGAAGGCAGTTGGTCTGGCCTATCTGACATGGTCAGTTTTAAATCACAGGCATTTCTGTTTGGAACTTATTCAAATAAATAAACATTCAGCTGTCATTATTAGTTTCCGGCCACTAGGTGTAAAGTGTGCAATTGTGACATCTAGTGATCACAATATAGTTCAATTTATAACAGATTTCCATCAGGCACATCTTTGGTCTTCTGGTAGTGTAGGTGAGAAGCTGTGTATGTATTCATAGTGACATCTTGCATAGAAGGTAACTTATATCAAAGGCAGTGATAGAGTGTATTATGATCACTGATTACTTACTTCAATTATTGTCATATTTTTAAGAACACACATTAGTCTAAGTCCTTCAGTCTCCTGATAGTCAGAGACCAGGTATACCCTGAAGGATTTCCGCTGGAATCTCTCAGAAGTCTCGGTGCACTGGCTATGCGGAAATTATCCGAGAAGCTTAAACTTCCGATGGATAATTAGTGCCTCAAACCTTCCCAAAAAAAAAATGGCTGCAACTTTAATTAGAAGCAGAATTTTGGAGGGTTCAACTTACTTAAATAGTCATCCAGAAAAAGTAAAGGGTTAACATGCTGCCCCAACTCCTGGCTAACTATAAAACTGGCTCCTATGCATCCACACTGGATCCAAAGCCCTCTTCCCCCTTAAAAAAATCAATCTGCCCCCACCATGATGCCTGACAATGTCTCCCCCCCAACCCCACTCCAAACCTCAGCCCAGCCTCTGCTACCTTGCTCCTACAGTCATTCATTTAACACTCTATCTTCTCTTACCCATGTGTCTGGTACCTGACCCCCTCATTCACCCAAATGGTACCCTACACACACCCAGTTACCTGTTGCCCTCATCCACCTGGCACTCTGGCATATAGCCTCACCCATCCATATGGCAGACTGACCCCCTCACTCATCCCTGGTAGACTCATCTGCCACCCATCTGTTCCCCATCCAGCACCTGGCACACCAAACAGGAACTGTAACTCCTTATTCACTCACTTGGCACCTAATCCCTTCACCCACCAACCAAGAAATCTTTAAACCCTACAGCAGTAGTTACTGCTGGGTAAAGGTGGTATCACCTGTCCATTAGCACTGACCCTGCACTGCACCCAGATCAGGTAAACTCCACATTTCAGTGCAAATCACATGTTTAGGCCAGAACTGCACAGGACTAGAGCAGAGTGAGTAAGAAGGAGTGGATCAGTAATCAGAGTGTGATTATCACTTCTTAGAAGATTCTGACAAATATTTTGCCAGGGATTTGTACAAAAAAGGTGAGCATTTCAACAATGTTACAGGGATCCAACCCTAGATTAAGACCCGTGCCCTGAATTCTAAGGGTTCACAACCATTCTCCTTTCAATCCCACAGTACAGAAACCCAAAGTACCATTTTGACACACTGCATTGAATTCCCAAAACCAAATCATTTTCCACTCACTCCCATTAGATAGGATTCCATGAGCTGAAATCAGAAGTTCCCCAGCCAAAATCTCATGCTTAACACAAAATACCATTCAGGTGCTGTCACATTCAGTTTGAGATTGCCAGCTAATTTCCTTCAGCAACACAATATTGGCCGATACTGCCTAGCTAGAGTTGTAATTAGATATTTTTCATAAACGTCACAAGATGGCAAACTGGGGCTGTTGTTACCCTGGTCACTGGAAGATTTGATGACAAAACTACACTTACCATTACAATGACAGACATGCACAAAACTACCAAGTGATTTCATATCAAGACAGTTCTTTGGAATAACCTGAGAGCAGTGGGGTTTCATCACCCGAGAGGTCTCCTGTGTAACTGCCTTACCCTCATTTGATTGCATCTTTTTGCACACTATCACAGAAAGGAAACACTGTGCCCACAGAGGCTTCATTACTGGCACAAGCTCATCATCTGTGAACTCCGAAATGGTTATAACTCTGGACTAGAACATCCCATGAGCTTTGCAGAGAGATTGCACTGAAGGAGGAAAAGAAAAACAGAGATGAAGGGACTGTGAGGAGCAGAGTAAACATTAGACTTGTGCGAATGTTGTGCTTTCTGTGTTCATCTTATTAGGTGCACACAGTTAGTTTAAAGTGTCTGTTGGAAGGTATCTTCATCCCTTTCTGGTCCCCCTTTCTCTCTCTCCTTTCATTCCCAGACCTGCAAAAAAGATATTCCCGGCTTTCTCCCGTGTCTCTCTCTCCCTACCTCTGACCCCAAGCGCCTCGGTTGAAAAGCACCTAAATTTCCAAGTGCAACAGCCACATTGCAGTCCCTCAGTGTGAGCAGTCAGCTCTCTGCCTTGCCTTGGTGGTAATTAGTACAACACCAGCAGCAGCTTAACAATTGGATGAGGCAGGAACAGCGCCCCCAGTGGGCAGCAGCTGAGGAGGAGCGGGTCGAGACGAGGTCTTCCTGCGATACTACCAACATGGCTTCCTCAGTCTGAACCGAGGTGGAGGCAGAGGGGCCCAGAGCCTCGCGGAAATTCTGAAGAAACCAAAGGCCTTCCGTTGACAAGCCAGGATCAGCAGCTGAAACGACAAATAAAAAAGAAGTTTGATTGAGCTGCGCAGCTCATCGGATGGGGACGCCGATTTTTCCACACTGTGGAAAATACTTCCTTGCTAAAATTTCCAAAGGGCCTCTCCTTATCTTCTATCATGCCTCAGAACAATGGACCACCATTCAGGCCCTCAAACCTGCTCCATCATTCAAGTACAGCAAACTTTTTATTATCTGGCACCCAAGGGACCAGGAGCTTGCTGGATGATCCGATACTCCAGTTGATCAAGAGGTCCCCACTATCGATGTAAAAACACACACAAAGTAATAGAAACGTAATGCAGGGGGTATACTTTATTTACAGCATAGATCACTTCAGTAATAATGCAACTTTGCCTTAAATAAAATTACCAGCAGACAGCCTTCTCAACAGACTACTCGAGACTGAAATAATATAGTAAATGTCAGGTGCATAATTTCAGGTATATAACAGTGAGAGTGTGCTGGTTTATAAGATGCCAGATAAAACAAAGTTTGTGGTTGATCGCAGCTGATCTACATCTTTGCTCTCTATCCATTCAATACATTTGTCAATCAAAAACTCTCAAACTCTTCAGTTAGAGCAAAAAACCAGCCATTCAAGTGCTTTTTGTAGCGGGAGGACAGCAAGACAAGGGAATTCAACATTCAAGTCCAGTTTGGAGTTTGATTCATAAGAACATAAGCAATAGGAGCAGGGGTAGGACATCTGGTCCCTCGAATTTGCTCCGCCATTCAGTAAGATCACGGCTGATCTTTTCATGGGCTCAGCTCCACTTCCCTGCTGGCTCACCATAACCCTCAATTCCTTTCCTGTTCTAAAAATCTATCTTTGCCGTAAAACGTTCAATGAGATAGCCTCAACTGCTTCACTGGGCAGGGAATTCTACAGATGCACAACCCTTTGGGTGAAGAAGTTCCTCCTCAGCTCAGTCATAAATCTGCTTCCCCATATTTGGGGGCTATGCCTCCTAGTTCTACTTTCACCCGCCAGTGGAAATGACCTCCCTGCTTCTATCTCATCTATTCCTCCCATAATTTTATATGTTTCCATAAGATTCCTCCCTCATTCTTCTAAATTCTAATGAGTATAGTCCCAGTCTATGTCATTAAGGAAATTTAGTACCATAACCCTAGCAATGAATTTCTACTCAAAGTTCTCCCTGTTGTGTTTGGACAATTGATGAAAGGTGAGGAAATAACAGCGGCCTGACCGGAAACCGCTCCATGTTGAAGAGGATGGCATTGAGAAGGTTTCTAAGAGGTTGTTCAGGTTGTGGAGCTGGCACCAATGAGGGGCTCATCTTGGGCAGAGAGCAGCCTCAAAATGAGTGGTGTTGCACATTCCAAAAGGCTTTGGTACAGACTGGATGATATTTGAGCTGCACTGTTTTGGAGGCTCTGTTACCATGCACAACATTCTGATGCTAACACCATGGTAATTGGAGGTGATAACATTTGCTCTGCTGCCTAAGAATCTATCCACCTCTTGCCTTCAAAATTCAAGATCTTGCCTCCATTGGCTTCAGAGGCATAGAGCTCCAAAGTTGCAGAACTCCCAGTGAGAAAAAGAAATTCTCATCTTTCCCCAGAAGGTGGAAACCCCTAACTGTTAACCAGTGCCCCCTAAATCTGAACTGAGCCACAAAAAAAAAGGAAGCATCCTTTGCACATCCACCTTGTCAAAACCATTCGGGATCTTATACACTTCAGTCAAATCAACCCCCTCACTTTTCTAAACTGTAGTGGAATCAAGTCGAGCCTGTCCCACCTCTCTCCACAAGACAACTTGCTCATTCCCGCTATCAGTCTTGTAAATCTCATCTAAAACTTATCCAATGTATTTATAACCTTCCATAAGTAAGGTGAAATAACTCCACAGAGGCAGCTATCCCATCACCACATCACCCTTTATTTAAATGTACACAGTACATGGACTCTGACCAGTTCCTAGAGTGAGGAGAATCCCTGAGACTCCTGTTTATATCTATCTGTAGCCAGAGCTCCCTAAATGGCCCAGATTAACAGCCTCCATCAGGGAACTCCTACTCAATGGGATCTACCTGGCATACGTTGTTCCTATCAATACACAAGGAGACCAAAACTGCCCAGTATGAGAGATGTGGTTGCAATGACCTGTATAACTGAAGTATAACATCCTTACTTTGATGTTCAAATCTTCTCGCAATAAAGTATAACATCCCATTAGCTTTACTGACCACACGCTGGACCTGTACATAAACATTTTGAGATTCATGCACCAGAACAGTTCAATCCTGTTTATTTTTATAATTCAAGGGGGAGGCAATGGCACGGTGGTATTGTCGCTGGACTGTTAATCCTGAGACACAGCTAATGTTCTGGGAACCTGGGCTTGAATCCTGCCAATGGCAGATGGTGGAATTTGAATTCAATAAATATTTGGAATTAAGAGTCTAATGATGACCACGAAACCATTGTTGATTGTTGGAAAAACCCACCTGGTTCACTAATGTCCTTCAGGGAAGGAAACTGCCATCCTTACCTGGTCTGGCCTATATGTGACTCCAGACCCACAGCAATGTGGTTGACTCTCAAGTGTCCTCTGGACAATTAGGGATGGGGCAATAAATCCTGCCTAGCCAGCGACGCCCTCGTCCCGTGAATGAGTAAAGGAAATCCTTCTGCCCCTCAGAATTCTACAACGGTTCTTTGTGTAAGTAAAGCTCTGCCTTTTCACTCTCCCTGCAAAGTGAACAATTACATTTTCCCCACATTATACACCTGTGCATTGTGGGTGTCCCTATACCGCAAGGGCTGACGGAGTTCAAGAAGACAAGGCCTTCCTCTGGCACAGTGGTAGTGTCCCTACCTCTAGACTGGGAAGACTGGGTACCAGCCCCACCTTCTCCAAACGTGTGTAATAATATCTCTGAAAAATAGGCTAAACTTATTTTAAAGGCAGCGCACCATGACTTTCTCAAAGGGCGTTAGGGACAGGCAATAAATACTTGGCCTAGTAGGCAACCCTCAGTGTGCTACCATATCTTATGTAACATCTCTTTAAATAGGAGAAAGTAATTAACTAACAAGTGCTCAACCAGTCACCTCGATACAGTAAATATTAATACAATTAGCATCTGCACCAATTGAAACAATTTGAACATTAAACTACTCCAAATTATATAAACATGGCCTGGGAACAGACTTCAGAAACGTTCCTTAGAGCTACATAGTGGTCAGAAGATGGAACTACCTGGTTATAAAAGCCATAAAAATATTGAATGGAAAAATCATAAGAATCATACAGCATGGAAACAGACTCTTCAGTCCAACCAGTCCATGCCGATCATGTTTCCAACCTAAAAACTTGTCCCACCTGCCTACGCTTGGCCCATATCCATCCAAACCTTCTCTATTCATGAACTCATCCAAATGTCTTTTAAAATGTAGTAACTGTAGCTGCAACGACCACTTTTCTCTGGCAGTTCATTCCACACACAAACCACTCTCTGTATAAAAAAGTTGCCCCTCATATCCTTTTTAAATCTTTCTCCTCTCACCTTAAAAATATGCCGCTAGTTTTGGACTCCCCTACACTGGAGAAAAGGCCATGGCTGTTCACCTTATCTATGCCCCTCACGATTTTATAAATCTCAATTAAGGTCACCCCTCAATCTCCTATGGCTCCAGTGAAAACCGTGCCAGACTATCCAGAAATAGTAGGAACTGCAGATGCTGGAGAATCTGAGATAACAAGATGTAGAGCTGGATGAACACAGCAGGCCAAGCAGCATCAGAGGAGCAGGAAGGCTGACGTTT